TGAGGTTTTAGCCTTTCTAAAGCAAGTGTTCTCAAAAGCTGAAGCCAGGAAATGGGAAAAGATTATACTAGAAATAATTCTAGGCTCATACTAATAAAACAAAGCTCATAGAAGACATGTATGACTGTAGTAAATGTGGTAACAAATTTCTTGTGGTTTTTTGGTGAAATTTACACCTGAAAAGGTGAGGAATTTTTTACTTTTATCCAAAGGAATAAAGGACTTGGCATTTTCGCAGAATCCCAAGGAGAACATTTAGAACTCCAAGCAGAAGAAATCAACTAAGACATTCTGGAGCCCCACTGATGGGAAGATTATCTATTACAAACTTTTCAGGTAACTAAAGGTGTATTTGTGATTCTGGATTTAATAATGCTAATTCCTCTTCCTAAATTAATACATGTCATGTGATAAATCTATATTGTAATGTTGAGAAACTAATTTAAGAATGTTGGGTGGCTGACATGCTGAGTAGAAAACTGTAGAGAAAAGAGGAATTATGCCCATAATGAAATGGAAAACATGAGAGAGTGTGGTAGGAGAAATGTACTACCACAAGAGAGCAATATCATGTAGTTATCATCCAGTCACATAGGAAGCATGTGCTGAAGAAGGAAATTTAATGTCTTCTGAGTTCAAGTCCAACATTACAAACACAATTACAAGGCAGAGAACTCCATTCCTGCATAAATAATAGAAGGTAATGGATGTATTTTCTTTTTATCCCCTTTGGCATGTGCAATACATCATTTTCTGTTTGAGGAATTCACTTATCTAAAAACATGGCATACTGAAAATAAAACCAGAATTCAGTTACTTTTTTACTGAATCTGTAATGTTACAGTAGGAAGGTTTCCTTTCCAGCTACCAAATATAATTATTTATGAAGTCTCACACTTCAGCTTACTCATGTGCTCAACTTTACTCCCAAATGTACAGTGACTTAGTGGTTCCTGTGTTTACAGGCTCAGATTTAAAGGAATAATAAAGGCATTTGTGTTGTTTGGTGAATGTGTTTCATTATGTGCTGTTGTTACTTTTGCTCACAGAAAATCCCTTGTGTTAGATACCCTTACATTCACACTCAGGACAAGCTCACAGGCCCTCCTGGGATGAACCAATGGAAGAGGCTAACAGAAAGATCTTGGCAAAGTCCTTTTCAAGCTCTTCAGGGATCAGACAGTAAATCTGCTCACTCACTCCTTCAGCCACATGCTGGCATACTTGCTCTGACAGGGACAAGAATAATCTGGTTGCACAAATACCCCTCTACCCCCGTAAAAATTAAACAAAATTAGCTGAAATGGTGCAAAGCAAACAATGCATTTCTGGCATTACTGCCCTAGGTCCAAAGCACATAAGCCAGTTATGATGTGATGGCAAAATTTTACCCATACACAGTCACCTCAAAACTCTGAAATCTTATGCCTCCTGTAAGAAATTGCTGCAGAGAAACACCATGTTCTTCAGTCATCCTTCACTCTCTCCTGATCTTACCAGGCATGACCTGCCATTCTATTCACTAAGCTTCCTTGGTCTCTAAACCTGAAAACTGCCACCCTTTCCTGACATGAGGATCAACCAACACACAGATCTGCTTTAGGAAAACCATTAAGGTTCCTTCCATCTAATCTCCCACTTCTCTGCCAAACTGCAGAAGCTTCTTCTAGGATCTGTCTGGCTCACATTGCTGCCCACCTCCAGAAAGCAAAGTTAATGCCCCTGGAACACCAATTCTACCACCTCTACATGATATTATTTTAGATTAATAAAACTGCAGTTAGACATGAAGGGTTTATTCAGCTAGATTTGTCCATAGCACATGTGAAATGAGAAATGCTCTACCCATTACCTACTGTTAATGTCATCTGTCTTAAAATGGTAATTGATCAGACTTAAAAAGTCTGATCAATATGTTACTAGAGACTCCTAAAAAATAGAAAAATAATATCCACAGCATGCCCTTTCCCCATCTAGGGATATTTTCAATATTTCTTAATATTTCTTATTAAAAGCTGCATTTTTGGCAGATGTCCTAGTGTTGTACATCTATTGTGGTAAACATGAAGTTACTTTAAAATTTATTTTAATTATAAGACAACAACAACAGCAATATTATTCTAGCAGAATGACAACAAACTCCAAATTAAGAAATGGTAACCACTTTAACAGAGTGGACTTTAGTAGAGGAGATGACTCAGCAAAGAAGTGATTTTGGTAAAATATGTGAAACTGAAGGAAAACAGGATGTTATGTCTTGTATTCCTCTTTTATGCCATTTGCTTGCTACCCCTTTCTGAACTAAAAACCAAGACAAATTGAGAAGGCAGGGCTACAGAGAGACAAACCTACTGACTCTCTTGCTCTTTCCAAATGCCTAAGCCTCTTTTTGTCCAGACCAGAGCCCCTGCTCCCTAGTGACAACAGGATATTTGTGATGGTCCTTGGAAAACGAGACCATTACATACCCTCGTCCCACCAGTGAAAACATCTTCGTACCTTCCAGTCAAGGTACCTCTCCAGCTCCCCTCCCATCTTCAGCTGTCTGTACTTATGTATCCCATGTTTCCAAATATCTGGGGTCTTGGTTTTGTTTATCCTTGCTTTTGTTTATCCACAGAAGAGCCCACTTTTGTGAAGCCACTCACACACAGAGTTTTGCACTTCTGACCAGGCCCCCACAGCAAAACAGGTGAAATGACTTGCAAATACAGATGTTAGTAATTTCTCAGTGTTTTCTTCCCCTCTGCATGTGTCTGTTCCACCTCTGGAACACAAATAATTCTGAGGGAAAATGAACTGAAGAACCCTGGTTTCCCACAGACTTATAGTGAGGCTGATAATGAGCTGTAATTGAAACTTTTCTCATTACCAAGACATTTATATGGTCTCTCAACCATGTGAATCAGTGTTTAATAAGAGGAAAGTTCATGTTACAGCCTTTGGGACATTTACAGGATCTCTCAGCCCTACCCAGCTGCCTGTTTTCATGAAATAGCTTAATTATATTTGAGATAGATTTGGGTGAAACTGCCCAACAGCTTCAAAAGTTATTGGAGAAGTAAAGGAGACAGCCAAGCATGATTGCATAAAGGCCTGTTTCCATAGAAACCAAGAGGAAAAACAGCAGTACAATTTGAAAAATTTCATTGCAGAGTCACTTTAATTGAAATTTTAAAAATATCTGACCATCTTTAAATCACATGCCATAATACAAAGTACATTTCTCCTGCCTTATCCCATTCAATACCCTGTCTGTAGACCTCTGCCTCCATATATCCTGCTCTCCTATATCCTGCAGGCACAAGAACTGCACTTCTTAAAGTCAGAATGTTGTTCTGAGTGTATCTTGTCAACCTCCACTTCGGGTGGAAACTATTTTTTTAGTCAAGGCAAGTTTCCTAGAAAGACGTGCCAATTGCTACACTCCATTGCTCTCACACATGTGAGGCATATGACAGAAGTAAGTAAAGGGAGAGCTCTCAGGAGGAGCGAGGTACAGTATCACCTTCTGAACAGTGCATCCCACTGTTGGGACTCTAGGGAAGGTCTGCAGGTTGGAGTGTGGGATTTTGGCCACTAAGGACAGGCAGCAGAAGGTAACTTGTGGGAGGGTGGTGAACACTTGCTGGGTGTCAGTCAGTAAATTTCACGGGAAGAACTGCTACCCCTCTCTTTGTCATATGCCCTTCAGGTGTAGCACCCACCTGAGCCATCAGCTCTGGCGACAGCATCCAGAGTAAACAATAATGCCCATGTGCAACTCAATAAACTGAGGTCTGCACGTGGAGTGAAACCACTCTGCAAACGGCCGCGACACGGAGATGCTCGAGGCAAGCAGGTGTCACTTGGTTTTGCAGCCACAGCCCGAAGCCCAGCTGCCTTTGGTCCTTCCCGGCAGCCAGCAGAGCTCCTGGACCGCAGGACGCTCCTCCGCTCCGGCTCGGGCAGCTCCCGCAGCGCCGCGATGCCCCCGGTACGGTGCGAGGCGCGGCCGGAGCCCTCGGGGCTGCAGCGCTGGGCAGTGCCGGGCAGTGTCCGGGGCAATGATGGGCAGTGTCCGGGGCAATGATGGGCAGTGTCCGGGGCAATGATGGGCAGTGTTCGGGGCACTGCTGGGCAGTGTCCGGGGCAATGATGGGCAGTGTTCGGGGCACTGCTGGGCAGTGTCCGAGGCAATGATGGGCAGTGTCCGGGGCAATGATGGGCAGTGCCTGGCCAGCCGGCGAAGGAGCCGGGCAGCGCTGGGCAGTGTCCGGCTCTGGCGGGGAAGGAGCCGGGCAGTGCCGGGCAGTGTCCGGGGCAGCGCAGAGCAGTGTCCGGCCGGGGCGGGGAAGGCGCTGGGCAGTGCCGGGCGGTGTCCGGGGCGGGGCGGGCAGTGTCCGGCCGGGGCAGTGCCGGGCAGTGTCCGGCCGGCCGGGGAAGGAGCCGGGCAGTGCCGGGCAGTGTCCGGGGCAGTGCCGGGCAGTGTCCGACCGGGGCGGGGCCGGCGCCATCGGTCCGCCGAGCGCCCGCTCCCGGCCGGGGCCGCGCCGGGGCCGGGCAGGGGTCTCCGCTCTCGCTCCCGCCCGCCGAGCGCCCTCGCCCCCCCGCCCGGGCCGTTCTCCGCCTTCTGCCGGCCGTGCCAGGCAGCCTCTCTCTCGGCCTTCACTACCGGGTCAGGCCGGGCGGGAGCGGCGAAACAGCGCCCGCCTCGCTCCGGCACCGACACCGACACCCCTCCTCCTCCTCCCCGCGCCGCGGCCGTCCCCTCCCTCCCGCTGCCTCCCTCCCTCCTCCCTCCTCCCTCCTCCCTCCTGCCAGTTTCTCTACAACTAGTGCATCCACGCGCAGGCAGGGTCCGGCCGCCGCGGCTGCCATGGATATCAGCTAAAGCCGGGCGGAGCGGGCTCAGAGGCGCTCCCGACCAGCTCGCAGCCCGCGGGGCCGCCGGCCGGCACAGCCGCGGCCGCTGCCGCCCGCCCCGAGCCTGCCCGAGCAGCGCGGCTGCCCCGGGGAGCGGGGGCACAGAGGGAGGGGGGGAGAAGCACAGACTGCAGGGAGGGAGTCGGGCAGAGCATCCCCACGGCAATGTCCAAGGGCTTGAAGAAAAAAAGCCACTGGACGAGCAGAGTCCACGAGATCGTGATCGTGAGGAACCCGGAGGGACAGCTGGGCTTCGAGCTGAAGGGGGGCGCCGAGAATGGCCAGTTCCCCTACCTGGGGGAAGTGAAGCCCGGCAAGGTGGCCTATGAGGGCGGCAGCAAGTTGGTGCCGGAGGAGCTGCTGCTGGAGGTAAACGAGACCCCCGTGGCCGGGCTCACCATCAGGGATGTGCTGGCCGTGATCAAGCACTGCAAGGACCCCATCCGCCTCAAGTGCGTCAAGCAAGGTAAGGCAGGCATGGGCCCCCCCTCTCTGCTCACCCCTGGGGGCCGGGGCACGTCTGGGAGAGCGGAGGGGGAGCAACTTTGTTGCTGCAGTTTGACTTTCCCCCTCCCCGCCGGAGCCGCCCCCTCCCCGGCGGCGGGGGGAGGATGCGAGCGGCGCTGCGCGGTACCCGCAGCCGGGCGAATTAAATGTGCGTCAGTGACAGCGCTTCGCCATGCCGGGGGGCCGGGCGGGGGCCGGCGGCAGCAGCCCCGGCAGCCCCGGGCTCACGGGGACGGGTCCCCACCGACCCACCGGCCCCGGGCCCCGCCGCCCCTCCGCTTGCCGCTGCCGGGGCCCGGAGCGGCGGCCGGGGCCGGCTGCGGAGCGGGGCTTGCCCTTGGCTTCGCCTCTCTCCGGGCGCCTCGGCGTGGGGATAGGGGCTGCCGCCGCTCGCCGCGTCCCCGGTGGCGCCCAGGGTGCCTTTAGCATCCCTTAAGTGTCATTAGCGGAAAAGTCATTCATTTGATCTGTGGTGAAAACGATCGCTAATCCCAGGGAACGGGGAGCTAAGAGCAAGTGAGAGGACAGGCAGAAAGAAACTTTTGGGAGAGAACGGTATACTCTAGCCTCGCCTCTGTTTCGCTTATTTATTTTGAAGTACTGTAATAGGTTAATGCGTTTCCAGGAAAGTCAGTAGAGACGCCTCAGATGCTGTTTACATGTTTGTTTCTGTCCTCTGTAAACTATGCTGAGTTGAGTTCTCTGCAGCCGAACGCTCGCGAGGATGTTTCTGCTACCCCAGCAGCATTTCTGGAGCCCCGGAGCTGCTCTGGGAACCGAGTCTGTAGGTGCTCCTTGGCTATGGGTGGTGCAGCGGCTGTAGGCGTATCGCTAAAGTACGCATTCCAGCCGGGCAGCGAGCCCAGCCATTGAAAACTTGGGAATTTCTGCGGTGGGAAGTTTTTAGATACATCAGAGGCGCTTGTGCTCTGCAACTCTAGCCATCAGCCTGTGCTCAGAGGACGCAGAGGAGAATCTCTCTGACGCTGGGTATAATTTGGCAATTCTACTTCCTCTTTGTAATTGACGGTTTATTGTTTAAAGTAGAATTTGCGATACTTCTGAATGCTTGAAGAATATGCTAATTATTAGTTTATCCAGACATGACAGAAACAGTAGAAAAATCTGATTTCCACTTAGGCCTTCAGAAAGTACTTTATAGTATATTCAGTTATCTCTATGAGGTCAAGCCTCTATATACAGATACAGTGTGTGACTTTTTTATTTGTCCTTATAGGTAAGTTGTGCAATATGCTGTAGATCTTATCTTGACAGCTGGGCTTTGCAGGGAGACACAATAGTTCATGTGATAAGTGAAGATTAAAAATGAATACAATGGATTCTGTCTTGCCAGTGTAGTGTCATCTTTGGGCACCTGAACTGCAGGAAGGCTGCTCTGTACTGTCCTTGTTTTATTAATAAATTTATTGGTCTTACTGTGATGGGATTCAAAAAGAAGCATAATATGAAGTGTCAAGAAGATAAGGGTAGATTGCCTGTAATCAAATTTTTTTTTCAGAAATCCTCTAGATTCTTCACAATAAGGCAAATATATAAGGTTACTTCAAGTTGCTATGTGAAACACATGTCCTGTCTCTTCACTGTTTTTATAACATTTCTCTTTAAGTCAAAGCAACCACTGGTGATTCATTAATATGTGCACCCTCAATAAATTACCTGTCATATATGAATTAGGGATACTAGTCAGGCTTTTAGTCTGGGAATTACTGCAGTCTTCCTCGTGAGACATAAGGGATAAATTCTGAATTCTGCTTAATTCTATGTATCTGTACCTGTATCTCTGCATATCTGAGGAGTTTCAGTTCAGTATGTTAACTCACTACAGTTTTAATGCAAGTTCTCAAAGGACTGGCCACATGTCTGCATGTTTAAAAATGACAATTCAGCACAGATTCTTGGACTGAGAAAGACTTCCTGGCTGGAATGATCTTTCATCTGCTCAGCATCCTTTACGCCAAAGAAAGAGGCCTTCTGGATCCAACTTCCTATTTGAAAAAAAAAAAAAGTCAATGGTTTGTGCACTTCACTACCTGACTCCTCCTTCAAGTGTAAGCCAGTGTATCCCTGCGCCCCTCGGTGACAAAGCACAGGCAGCCACGTTACAGCAATATTACTATTCCCTGACAGTGCTTTGCAGCAGTGTGTAGGAGAGAAAAGGCTGAACAATAAAATCTTTATATGTTTTTGTAACTTTTTTATTCCTTTTAATTATGAAGCACCTTTAGTGTGCTGGAACAAGGTTAATGACTCCATTATCATTGTTTCCGCGTAATTTATCAATGCTATCTCTGTCAATTAGAATAGCATGACCTTGAATGCACCATGTGACTGTAGCTGCTTCTTCAGTGCTGCCTAGGAATGAAGTCAGAGAGAGAAATGTGGAGGTTGGACATGACTATTTATAATGTGATCTTTAAGAGACTGGGAGTATTTCTCTTGTTTGAAAGTTTTGACAATTCAGCAGTGAAAATTTACTTGTAGATGAAATCAGGGAATGGCTAATTCAAGAATTAGCTGTTTTGAAGCATAGAAAAGGTGCTTTCATAATTTTTTCTTATGTTATGTTTGATTAAACACCCCCCTCTCTTTAATTAAATCTCTATCATCGTTTTTTACATTACTAGATTAAATACTGCTTCTGAAAAGTTGGATGGAATATTGTTATTTTGTGTTAGCTAAATATCTTGAGTTATAAAAACCCCAAGCATGTAATGTAGGAGTTGCTGCATATAATGAGGAGGAGTAAACTTCATGAGAAACTGATTTGAAGTTCCGTGATATAATTTAACATGAATTCTTCTATGTATGACTCCTGATAAATAAATAGGATAAATAAATAAATAATACAGGACATTGTTCCTGGGTTTGCATTAGAAGAAAAGACTGTAAGAATCATACTATTATTCTTTAGTCTTAATTGTAAGAGTTAAAAAAGAAATATTCCTTGGAGACTATTTCCTGTTTGGGTTTTTTGGTTAGGTTTTTTTTTGAGAGCCACTTGTTGTGCTACTTTGGCAGAATCACAGAGAATCTCTGGAAACATATGGGGTGAAATCTTGGCCCAGATGAAGTCAAAGGCAAAGCTGTCCTTGACATCAGATAAAGAAGGCAGGGTTTCCTCTGCAAAACCCCATGCTTTTTTGAACATACGTGTCCTTCCAATGAGAGAATTGTATACAGCAGTTACATTATTTGGGCGTATTACAAATGTACATTTTGACCTTCTAATCCTTTGGGTGAGGATAAGAACCTTTTACTCTTTCTTAAAGAAATACTTCTGAATTTCAGATGTGTTTGTTTTCACATGCAGAACAGTTTGGATTAAGTGCTGTCTTCTTCCCACACATGTACAGATGCGTAGTTGTAAAAGTAGCAGTGTGTTAAGGAAAGGCATCTTAATTTGGATAAGCAGTCACATGGGGAAGAGTCATACAGGGAGCAATGCCTCCAGTTCCATTCTCTGATCACCACTGCTGTCTCAGATCCACAGTAGTTCCCAGCAGTGGCTGACACAGGTCTGTGCTGTCCACACTCACTCCTTGCAGGGTTACATGAACAGTCCACTTGGTTGTACTGCATAAACCAGGATCTTTATTCTTTAGATAGAATTATAAACTTCCACAGATGCCCTCAGCAGAATCCAAATGAACTGTCTGAAAACATGAATTTCAGAACTCAGGAGCATTGCAACAGATTTTACCCTGGAGATCCTGCCTGATGCATCTCTTTCTCAAGGAAAGTGGTTTGGATGTATTAAGTAACCAGGTGATCTGACCAACTGAGCAATTTAATTTATTTTTAGAAGTATTTAGTGGTATGACTGTTTGCAACATGAATAAAACAGACACTTTTTATGGACACTGTCTAAGGGCTCTTATCTGACTCTAAATAGTCAGACTTTAAGTATCAGCCCCTAATTCTTTAGGTCCTTATGCAAAAAAGGCATTTAGTACACATAATATAAGGAGGAACTAAAAACCAGTTTAATTTTCTCAGTACAATAATTTGCTTAATAGTAAGCATATGCACAATATTTTGCTGACTATAGATGTACTTGGGTATGTTTTCAGGTGCTTTCCCAGTCAGGAAAAGGTTTGGACCTTCATTAGGATGGACATAGGAGCAGCCAAGTTTGGGCAGACTGCATCCTCCACATCCTATTGCTCGTAGCTGTGACTGTGGTTGCTGGGTAAAGACTAAAAGACAGAGGATGGTACTGTCCCAGCTCCCATGATTTGTGGCTAAGGGGTTTAGTAGCCTTGTAGTGTTTTTTCTTAATGGGCTCATCCATAAGCTTTGCAATTAAAACCTGGCTTAACTTAAAATTTCTTTAAAAGTCTGTAACAGGCCTTTTCATAGAGATATGCAGGAATTTTGTGATTTTCCAAAGTTTTGGCTGCATGTGTAAACAAACATGTTAGCTAAATGTTAGTATTTTCAGTTAAATATAGTGTTATAAATTTAGTGTTAAAATGTTAGTATTTTTAGTACAGACTTTTTCATACACATATGTATGTATGTATAGTTATGTTTTTAATTTTTTTTTTTGTTATTTAAGGTCATAAATAATTATATTCTACATTCATGAAAACACTCTGTGCATATAGATAGTCTTTTGGCAATCTTTTGTTCCTGATGTCACTATATACTGTGTTCCAAGGTGGGAACATTGGCTATAGTTACCTTCACAAGAAGAACAGTATTTTTCAACAGAAAGCTGCATGATTTTCCAGAATAAAAACAAAAAAATCACAAGGGTCTTTCAATAACCAGACCTAAAGAACCCTGAAAACCTGCATAGTTTCCTTTTCTCTATGACTTTTGCATAGATAGTATTTGAAAAGAAACTTACTCCTTTTTCCAAATTTGTGCTCTTTAGGATTTTATTAACTCCTGACATTAAATTCAGAGTTCTTTTTTTACCATTACTTTATGTTA